TGCAGTGTAGTCTGCCTGCCCCCGTGTGTGCCATGTATGTACAGCCTGAGGCTGGGCTGAGCAGGAAGGCACAGTGATACCATTAACTGTGTGAAATAGAACCAGTCCACACTGGAGATGAGCTCCAGCAAAATGGAGGGTGGAAGGACGGAATCCCACATGGCACAATGCTGCACACAGATCATTTGGTCCTTTGAAAATCAAAGTTTAGTCCATTCCTTTTGTGTCTGCCTGTTCCTTAGCAGAGTCAATAAGCTCTGCTCGCAATTTCCAGCAGGAATGTATTTAGCTCAAGCTATGTAGATCACAAACTTTAAGGAACAGCCTTTGAGTATGGAAAATACAATTTGTAATACTGTTCTATATAATGCCATAGGATTTTGTATCTGAAAATATGAATGCAAGAGCACACCTTCACTAGGAGGACTTAAGAGCCCCTTTCAAGTTGTGCTGTATGTGAGAGGCATGGGAAGAAACCAGCCTGGGGACAGGCACAGGCACCATGTGCAATGCCCTCACATGGTCTGAGGCTGCAAAAAGTTGCTTCAGCCATCACAACAAAAACCAGTGCTCTAGAAAGGTCCTGTGAGAGCTCTGTTGTGCACAGGGAGCAGTCAGATCTTGCATGTGTACATGGTTATTGCTATAAGACTCCCTCTGTATACACCACCCTGCCAGTGTCACATGCCTGAGTGATGGCAGTGCAATCAAATATGACCAGGGGTTTAATGTAACCTCTGGGCTGGCTGGAGTTTTCTGCAGTGGAAGGGGAGGTGACCCAAAGCCACTGAAAGCCAGTGGGATTTAGATGTCTAGCTAAACTACTGGGGTCTGACTCAGACTCCCTGTGGACTAAGGTGTGGGTAAATTTCAAATTTGGACAAATTATCTTGTTTCTTTGTGAAAGAGCAGCTGTACTATTTTTGACAATCAGGAATCCTTGTTTTGGTGGTGGTACATACAATGAACAACTGCATCCCCCACACACACTGGCCTTGCTAGTCCATATGCAGAGTGCTCTGGGCACATTCATGAAAATCACTAGTTCGGGATTTTGAAAGCCCATAATCAACTAGAATTGACATTTGCTTAGGCCTTAATCAAATACAATACACATCTTTTATATTCTGATAGTGTGCCTCCTGTGAAGTGTAAAAGAGGGCAGTGAGACATGGAAATCACTGCAGCCTTTCTCCTCTTCCAGGCAAGGAACTTGAGTTCCAGCCTGGAGCAGGCAAAAAAAAGAAATATGGTTATTTGCAAGAAGGTGATGCCTGGGGTTAAGAAACTGAAGAAATTTGCCATCTTTTCCAAGGGCCTCCATTCCAATGCCTTCCTGGCACTGCTTCAGGTTAGAAGTGCTTGCTGCAGATGGAGGTAGGGCAGGAGAAACATCAGCCTGAGGCTGTGCAGTTCATGGCAGCAGATCTGGAATTATGTCATCCCAATTAGTCATCAGTCAGGCCTTTAATCCTGCTCCTCCCAAGGTGTCCAAGGCTGGTGTGACAGACTCCCTAGGGCTCCATAGGGCTCCACTTCCACCTAGGATAAAACTCTAGGTTTCTCTCAGTTACGGAACTCCCAGATAGATTACGTGTCAGCACATATCTCTTTTATTTTTTACTGACATTTATTTTTAATGCCTATATGGTCAATCTTTTAATTCATTGTTAAAACTTGGAAACTTGCAAGCCAATGTCCAGTCTACAGATGGCTGGTCTGGCTCTTTTTAGAGTTTCAGTGGAAACCTGTCTTTTCTTAAGCAAGGACTGAATGGATAAAATCCACACATGGATATGTCCCTCTTATATCATCATGACATGATGATATAATACTTTGGTATAATGCACAGGTTGGTACAGGCACAAGTGCCTGCCAATATTTGTGTAGCCAAAAAAAGTTCAAGTTGCAGCTCAAAAAACTTGGTACTTAAATCTAGATTTTTAGAATATCTATAAACATACTTCCCTTACAACTCATGCAATTTAGGCAATGGCATTAGTTTCTAAACGTAAAAACCCTGGAAACACAAGTGACTGTAACACAGGCAGGACCAACAAGAGCAACAGCACAGTCAGATAAGCATCAATTTAACACACATCACTTAGAGCAAAGATGTTTTAGTCAGTTAATCAGTCTGTGGTTTAATAATTGTTGTCCAGGTTTGCCATCCTCATGAACTAGAACCACAGCTTCCAGAATTGCCTGTCTGTTTGCTAAAGCTGAAGATATTTGGGAACCTAATGAAACTGTGTAACTATTGTGGGAAGCAGCCCATGGAGCATAGGAGGCAGGCAGAGCTCAAATAATGCTAATAACAAAGAATACAGATTTCTTTAAAAGCTAATTCATAGACTCATAGCCAGGTGTAGATTGGAAGAGACCTTTAAAGGTCGTCTAGTCCAACACCCCTGCAATGAGCAGGAACACCTTCCACTAGACCAGGTTTCTCAGAGCCCCACCCACCTTGACCTGAATCTTCCCACAAAAGGGACATCTACTACCTCTCTAGGCAACCTGTTCCATTATTCCACCACCACATTTTAATGTCTGGCCTAAAT